AAGCCTGATGGATGTAATTTTTGTAAGCTAATGCTTGTCTCACGTGTATCTAAGGGGGACGCCTTCGGGCGATCAGGATTTGATTCGACTCGACTCGATTCTTCGTCGTTTTCTCTAATTTTATTTGTCGTTTGTCATTATTTATTCATTAAGTTCATCACTTTTCATCACTGTTGTATCGTTTTCGTGATTTTTCAAAAGTCTCATCATTTGTCTATCATTTCCTAATTTTTCATCATTTTCTATCATGCTTCTATCATTTCTATATCGTTTTCATCATGTGTATCCTCATTTTCATCGTTTTGCTACCATTTTCTCATTTTTCATGATTTTTCGTTTTTTCATCAGTCCTCACAGTTTGGCCTCAGAATCACGTTCTCGTGTGAGGCATCATTCGATTCCGGGCCCCCAGCCCAAAAGAAAAACAATCACAAATCAAAACAATTTCAAAAAAAATCACCACAGAAAACATGCCTGACTTTAGTATTGCCCGTCCCACCGCTCGATGCCAGCGAATTTGGCCAGCGGCGACAGCCTCGTGCAAGCGGGCTGCTGGTTTCCGTGCTTTAGGAATTTAAACTGTACTATGGGTGTTTATGGTTGTTGAAAAAACCAACGCATTAAGTTGTAAAGTCAGAGCCGCAACGGTTTGAACCCAAATGATACGTAACTCGTACTTTGCATGGCCCATGTTGGCTCAAAACCCAGGTAGGTTGAGGGCATGATGGGGTAACGACGGTAAAGCATCCTAATACATTTTTGGAATGGGTGCGCGGGGCTCATCGCATTGCAGGTTTTGTTCCTCAAGGCGTGACAGGTACATAACTTGAATTCAAGCATGACGCCGACGCTGTGCCGATGTGCGGCATATGCCGCATTAGCCGAATGGAGGCGTGCACCGGTTTTGATGCGAAAGCATGGAACAACTTCCGTGCCAGGCATCTGGGGCAATGAGTGCGAGAGACGAAAACGAGAATGAGCAAACGGATGGATCAGAGGCCTCGAAAGTTTTTGGCCCTATTCATGCCGGCCGTTAAAGTCACACTTCCATCGAAACTGCGTACTGTTTGGTAAGTGTGGAAGGGTACCACTTGCAGCTGGGACATATATCGTGTTGCATGCTGGTCGCCCCGCCAAGAAGATAGCCGTATTTGCCAGCAATAGACGCAGGAAAATGCAGGGGAATTCCATTCATTAGCGTTTTATAATGGAAAATGTTGCCTAGATGCAGCTGGTGATCAAGCATTTCAGTTTCATACAACACCCGGGTTGGTGCCAATCTACGAATGTGAGTTCCAGGCTAGCTCTTTACCACCGATTGCGCCACCCGATCCAGCATTTGAAGATGCAGGCGCTGGCTGCATCATGACCTTGGGTGTATGTCAGGATGTGTGTGACGGACATCGGACTGTCATGGAGTTGGGACATGGTATGCGATGTCGCCAGGGGTTCCAGCAGACGGCGGCATGCAATTGCAGGAGCTGGAGCCATATGCTGTCCGTGACCGGTGCAAATGTAAGTGTCGAGTCTTGAAGCGTGCTCAAATCGCAACCATTCGCGTCGAACCGAGGTTCATAGCACAACTTGGCGCGTTGCGGCTTCAGACATTGTGACCCACATAGGCATGTTCTGCAAACAACGCCAAGTATTGCAAGGTGGGGTTCCGCAATGGCCGTTGCCTGAGAGCTTTTCCTTTTGAAGTTCAGCGCTTCAAGTTTAGCACAGTACATTGTTTTACATGTGCTAACCCCAAGCTGCAAGGTTCACCAGCAACAAGTGGATTCCCCAATGATGGCCTGCACGTAATAAATGCCGTAAACGAACGGAAGGCCACACTAAGTGAACTGCGCAATTTCACATAGACCTGGCCGCAAGCAGCTGGTGCCCGCACCTTCCTCGTTTTGTTTCCTGTATCTCAGACGCGCACTTTGCCATTTGCTGCGGAGGAGGAGAACATGCAGCAAGCTATGTGGGAAGGAGCGCTGGAAGCGGAAAAGGTGGCACAACAGTTGCAGGACTGCACCTGGTTCATGGCCGTCATGGCGTCGCCTATGTGGTAGATGTCCTTTGTTTCTGACATGATGCGGTGGGTCAGGAAGAACCAGCACCTCCAGAAACATTTTACGCGAGGCTCTCGGTTCTAAAGGGCCATGGCAGCTCATCCTTGCGAGCTAGTGGTTTGCTAGCGTAAGTGTGTCACAGTTGCCATTGACACCAAGGAGGTGGCCGCTCCGGAGCAGTCATTGCCTTTCTTGCCTTTTGAAGGTGATGAAGACAAGGACACTGCCAGGTCGTTAGATCAATCAGTGATGTTTCAGATCCGCCTACCATTTGAATTGGTATCCCGAAAGCTTGCATCTCCTGATCATCGCAGGCCCCTGCAAAACTGTGCTCCCAGAGTGTTGCATGGGCTTACCATGGCAAACATCCAGGGAACTATAACCCTCCTGCTTCAAAAGCTGCAAGACTTGGTTGAATCGAATGCTTCTGTGCTTGCAGCGACAGCTAACATTCTCCAGCAGTTGGGCGCTTGAGCCATGACGGATGACACAGGGCCTTGGCCTTGGCCTGGGCTTGGCATCACGATGAAACATGTGACACATGTGCGCGCTGCGCGAGCTCGCAAGTCTCAGGTGGCATTGTGTTGTGGTCGAACATTTTGTGGTGGGGTTCTGAGTTTGCCATGGTTGTGTCCTTGGATGTTGCCTGCCACATGTGTTTTTTCGTGAGCCCCACATCCATCATGCGTCACAGTGGGAATTGTTTGCATGCACTGCATGGACAAGATTTTTCGGACTGCATCCTGAGGCAGGCCAAGGTGCAGGTCAGCATGTGGAATTCCGGGCACAGATTTGGGCTTAGCTTCGTTTCATCGGTGCCAGAGCCGTCTGGCATCTCTGTGTTTGTGCCGAGGTCAAGCTGTCGAGGAGCCCCACCACAGCAATTGATGTTCCGATTCTCCCAGGCGAGAACATGCCCTCGCTTTGAGCATGCTTTCTCACGGAAGTTGCCGCAAATTGCTTTGTGCTTGCTCTCAGGTTGACAAGCTTTTGGGCCAGCTTTCACAAATGAGTGAGCTTCGTGCCCCTTGATTTGATTGGGTCCAGAGCAATTACATGTCAGAGTCCATTCTCCGATGCCATGGACATCCGTGGACTTAGGATGTGACGCTCCCGCGACTTCCGCCAAAGGTCGGAATCTCTGCTCTAGCAGTGCAGCTTTTGACGTGCGAATGGTGTCAGGTCACACTGCGGTCCACTTTCGCTGGCAGGTTCGATGAAACATTCCTGCAGGCTCAAAGACCGGATTGGCTTCGGGCAGGCGAAAGTTGAAAGTTGTAACTTGTCAGGAGAGACAAAGTCTTTTGACGACGTGCTTTGAAGAACTGTGCACAGTTCTGAACGAGAAATATGCAGCGGCGCAGAGCTTTGTTGTCAGCTGCATGCCAATTCTGCAGATTCTTTTTGAGCGTAGCCCGGAATCCTTGATATGTATAGCATATACACGCAGCCCAGGTTGGAAATGTTCTGGACCTGTGTGAGCCAGTGGGTGAGCTTGCGGCTTAGATGCTCGTGCTACTCATCCGCTGGAGGCTGCGCGCTGCTAGTATTCACCTGTTCACAATGCCCCACCAAGGTTTGTGGCCCTTGCTGTCAGAATCTTATGCAAGCAGCCTTGGTAGTCACTAGGCGCACACTGGACATCAGGCCAGGGCAGGGTCTGCCGAAGAGCTTGCCGCAGCCTGGGCCTTACCGTGCCAAATGTTAAGGCCCTTCATGAGTAGGAATTCAACAGACTTATAGCATGTTGTGGCATATCAGGGGGCCCCTTGCGTGATCCGCAGTTGCAATCTGTACAGAAGACAGCAGGGCAGGGGACGGTAGAAGGCACTAGGATCACACGCGCAGGTTGCAGCAGTGGAGGCCAAAGAGGGAGCGGGTCACTGACTCCTGCACAGTTCAGTACGCGAGCTTGACAGCGGTTTGTCAAGCTGCGAAAGTGGCCGTGCCAAAACATAATGACTGCAATGGCAGGCCGCTATTCGCAGGGAAGAGGATCGTCAGATCATTGCATCCCAAAATGCTGAGTACGAGGCCTTTGCTGATCTTTGGCGTTCGCTCTTTGCTGTTCGCTCTCTTGGTTTTCGAGTGCCTCTTGTTGTTTGAAGGAGAGCCTGCGGCAGGATGAACTTCGTCGAGTAGCTCAAGCGGAGAAGGCCGACAGTCACCAGTAAAGACCCATGTTCGTGCCCCATCCAATTTCACGTGGCCTGCAGCGCCTGTCATAACTGAACGGGCCACCATGCGATCGTTTGCAAATCAGATTTGGGGGTGCTGGTCAAGGGTCACATGCCGCCCTCGCGATGGCTTGTCAGTAAAGACTTCTTGCTATTGTCGCCGCTGCTGCCGCCAGCTGCCTTGGCCCTCAAGATTCTGACTGCATGAACAGAAACTATGCAGCTTCGTGCTACTTGCTTTCTCAAATCTGCAATGCCGCAAGTGTTTTTCAAGCATGCAGAAGCCAGACATGAGCCAATTGGCGATCGGCCACGTGCGTGACTGATGCCGAGGCAGTGTGAACCAAACCATTGGGCTTGCAGCGCTTCGTAAAACCGTTGAAACAGAAGCGCCCCACCGCAGCACTGGGAGGCTGGCCGCGAAGTAACAGCTGTCACTGGGACCGCGATAGACAGTCGCAAAAGCGCACGTGAAAAAACACAAGAAAGAGAACCGCCGATGCAGGATGGGGCACTTGACAGTGCAGGTGGTGACAAAGGCTTGCAACAACGGGAGGGGGGTCCTGTGACAACCGGTGTGGTTGCCCCCTCCCGTCTTTGCTCGTAACCCCAGCATCTGACGGGCAGCTCTGCAAGGGGGGAGGGGGGCGCTATGGCATGCGACTTTTGATTTGCAGTGTTGATGAAGCCCAGAAAGCTTCAAAGCATCTCAAAGCTGGAGGATTGTCGAGAGCTAATGCTGCTAAGCTCGTGAGAGTGTCAGGAAGAGCAAGAACGGCTCGCAGCGGAGGAGGAGGCGGCGGTGCTGGACGCGCCCTTGCTTTGCTGGCTGCGATCTGCCGCAGAGACTGTCCAGGCGAGAAGGCAGAAGGCTGCAGAAGAGGAGGCGCATATTTGCGTCCTTAAAAGCCGCGCAGCCTCCTCTTTTCTCAGGCGGCCGCGCGGGTTGAGCAGAGAATAGCTCGCCTGACCGCTTTCGAAAAGGAACACCCTGTCCCTGAGGCCTGCTTTGAAGTTTGGACCATTCCCACCTCGCATGTACTATCAGCTGGCTTTGGACATGAGGCTGGGTTGCCACAAGTGGCTCACTCAGATCCTTTCCCGAAGTTGTGGTGCTGCAAAGCCGAAGCAGCATTTTAGACGATCATGTCCGACGTGCAGAGATGAAGGCAACTGTGCGTTTCCGAGCAGCCAGTGGGGCCACTATTCAACGTGCTTTCTCCGAAAGCACGGAGGTAGCGCTTCTGCTGATTCGTGGGGGCCAGATACAACAGACAAAGATTGCTGCTTACAGGTTTCTGCCTTGTTCGAGTTTGTTGCCGTGGCGGAGTGGGATGGCCCAACTTTGGGCCGGCGATTTGATCTCAGGACATTATGCACAGGCTGCGGCTGCATTGGTCACTTTGTGAATTTTGTCCAGCTGATGAGTTGAAGGACTTCTTTCCCAGTGACGAACTTGCAGGGCAAGGAGTCACAAACGCTCAGGCAGCACAGAAGCCGGAGAACAACTGGGCACTTGTTTCCAAGATATGGAGAAAAAACAGGCAAGAGGTTTTCAGCAGTGAACATGAAGCCAGCTATTCAAAAAGAGTGGTTATCGGCTTTGCTCAATTCTTGAATCCGTCCCGTTCCTGTTGCAAGCCCACTGCATGCCACTTGTTTTGAGGGGTCCAAGAGCTGTCCCGGCTCATCAAGCAGGAGGAAGCCAAAGACTGCAGGTCGGCGATGGGTGGCGGAGAGGGCAAGAATGATGTTCTGAAAATTCCGCAGAGGAAGGAACAGGCAAAGCATGATCTAGAACACGAACCATGCACAAGGTAAGAAGTGTGTCAATTGATGTGGATGTAGACGTGAAAGAGCAAACTGTCGCGGGCACCGCTCTCGGAAGGCAATGCTGGGAGTCGACAGCATCCTGGCAAGGAACCCATGTAGGACATAACATCGAGACCATCGTTTTGACTCTGTAGCGCTCCGTATGCGTTGGCAGAGGCAAGAAGATTGGCCAGGCCAACTCATGCTATTCCATTTTTCTTTGAGCACATGTTCTGACTAAGCGGGCGGCGTTGTGGCCATGGGCATGCAGCAGATGTGCTGTGGGAATTGGGCAGTGAACTTCTGTTGCATCTGTGATCAAGGCAGAGTTAGGGGCTTTCTGTCCCCTGTGGGATCCCATTCCACCGAGCAGGAAAAGAAAGTGGTGCCCAAACTGGCAAGTCCACGAGACAGAGGTTTCCGCTACGCTAGTGCTCTGAAGCCAAAACAATAGTGTAAGTAGATGCTAGGCGATGAGCGTGCAAGTGAGAGTATGGCCAAATCAGCGAGTAGAGACTGTGAGTTTGGGCGGGTGGTGGAGTAGAGCCCCAGAGAAGCCAGGGACTCCCTGCAAAACACAGTTTGATGGATGCAGGCAGGCAGGGCTTTGCCCTTCATCGATGCTTCTCGTTGTGGAACACGCTGCGGCCCTGTGCAGAGACCAATGTGTGCAGCAGCATGTGATGAATCCATGTTAGCGCTGGGCCCTTAGACGCTATCAGGAAGACTGATGCGATCCGGACAAGATGGAGCACCTGGAGTGATTGGCTACGGGCTCTAGAGCAAAAGGAGGTATTTGGGAGTTGGGTTGCGCAGAGGGAGCAAACATGGATTGCAGTACGTTCATCTACGCCCGGCAATGCGCACATTACCATGCAGCTTCAGCACGTTTCACCAAGTTTGAAGGGAGCAAAGGCATGCGAAGGCTGCCGAGTTTGTGTGCAGTGTGGAAGCATGTCCTCGCTGCTGATTGCTTGAAAATGCCTTCTGCTCTGAGTCATCCCTTTCTTACATGTTCCACGACTGCCTGCTTTGTTTGACCAGCCACCGGAACAGGAGATGCCCGAGCCTGGGCTTGCACGGCCAGACTCCAGCCTTGACGAGATCAGTTCGTTCCTTGCGCAGATGGCTGCTGAGGCACGTCCCGGCACGAAGAGCACATGCGATAGATTTAGATGCCAGTGCAACTCTCTAGCAATTTGGCAGGAGTAGGAGGTAGAGAGGCCGGCCTTGCGAAGTCTGAGCTGAGTGGGCAAATGCTCGTTGCAGCGTGGCGTTAGGGCATTCCGGGAAGCGGGCATTGCATCTTTGCATCTTTGGACGGGACCTCTGGGGTAGAAGGGAGCTGCGAACCCCACACCCAATCTGCTGCTGTCTTGCCAATGCCTCTGGCTCGTTGATCGCGCGTATCTCGTGCAAGCTTGACGGCTGGTGAGACCACTGCTGACGTGGCATTTTCGCCGGGCCATGAGTTTGCAGAACATCCGTGCGCAAGACTATTCATGACTACGGACTTCAGGCTTTGGCTGTGGCTGTCAGCTGATAAATGTAGCGTTCGAGGTCGGTAATAGCATGTTTCCCCTGCCTGCCTCACGCAGCCCACGCATTGTGGCTGGGCCTTTGCTTCAACAGGCCCGTGAAGCGTTGCAAGAGGAACGCACCAGGCTTCAAAGCCCGATCCTAAGAATTTAGGGCGTTAAAGTTAAAGCCCTTTGATGTTCTGAGAACACTTCCGATGAGGCCGTGGCCAGCCCACCAAGGTGGCAGCGGCCATGGCGGAGGCACATGGCACATACCCGCGAAAAGTGCTGCGAATTGTTACTTTTAGGGAGAGCTTGTGCAGGAATCGCTGGGGGCGGTGGCCGTCACCGACACCCAGGCGCCTATTGACATATTGGATTCCCTGCACCGTATGGGATCCTCGAATTCGCCAGCTGCCAGCAAACGAAGCAGGTGCCTGTGCTGGATAGCGAAGATGCAGGCCCAAAAGTTCGAAATCACGGCGTACGTAGATTGAAACGGTCGTCGATGGTGTCGCGTTGTTCCTTTTTTGAATGCTGAGCGCAATGTTTCCGAGAACAAGGTGTGGGCGCGGGCTTCATGTCACATGAGATCCTTTTACCGCAGCCGACAGAGCCGGGCACACCTGATGAGTTGCCACAGGCTGGGCTGATCATGACAGACGCGCACACCATCATTTTGAGCTTCAGAATTTTCAGGAGCAAGAACAGTTGGCAGCCAGCCCTGGACTGAGCTCAACTGACCGTGGGAAAGCGCAGCATTTCAAGTGGTACCCAGGTCTTGAGGAACTCGAGCGAGAGCACAAGGAACCTAACGAAGAAACCGACAACTGTCGCTCGACGCTCCAATGCTGCCAGGCCTTTGTTGAGCAACTGCAACAAGAAGAGGAAGATATGCGTCGGGAGGAGGTCTCGCACCATTGCTCACGTATGCTCAAATCATCTCACATCTGCCCTGACCCCGTGGCTGCGTGAGCCATGACCAAGCGCATCCTGCACTCTGTGCTCTTCGCAATGTCAGCTTCACATGGTGTCGAACTTCTATTCACGTGCTGTGACATCTGTGACCCGACAGGCGCGTGTGCGGGAGGAAGTGCATATGCATCGAGAGGCCGCTGAAGTTTCCATTTCCTACGAAGCAGTCAATGCGGGTTTCAGACAGAGTCGCTTAGATGCAAAGCAGCCATGCTGGCCTAGACCAGGGTAACGCGTGATGCAGAGCAACAAGGCTGTCAGGACTCATGTGCACCAAAGCTTTCGGGGTCTAATCCAGCAGACCATTGAGCATCTTTAGCAACATGAGCTGTTGCAAGCTACAAGTTTTTTTTTTTTTATTATTTTACTGGGCTGTCAGTGAGTAGTTTTCGGAAGCTCATCCAGCAGCTCGCCATGCGCATGCTCCGGACGCTGAGTTGGTGTTGTCCTCAGCATTGTGATGCCAAACGATTTGGTGCTCTTGTGACTGTCTGCTCCAAGTTGGCACAGGTCTGGGGCAGTCTTTCTGGCATCCATGTGTGTCGCACATGGAGGCATCCGTCATCATTGCAATGCGCATAGCTCAAGCACCCGTGTATGCAGACGAGTCGGCCCGGAAAGACTTGAGTGGCAAGGAGCGCGCTGAGGCCATGAAGTGTTTGGGGTGCGCAACATGCATGCACCTGCACATGTCTGCACGTTGCATCATAGCTTGCTGCATTGCTTGTTTACTTGCTTGCCGCAATTTTTTGCCACACGCAGCAAAGCTGGGAGCCTGGCTGGCAAAGCCGTCAAAGCCCTCCGCAGCCACAGCGTCGCAGACTATGCGCACGCGTCTGTGGACTCGGTGCGCTAGCCTTTGTTTGGCTGCCGGTTCGGTGTTGATACTGCGAAGTGGAAGTGATGCTTCTAACCCCACTGATTTCATTCATGCTGACGCTGCCTCCGCCCGAAGCGTGCGCATACCGCGCCGTGCCACTGACGACTTGGAGGCACGCAGGGCGAAGTGTCCTTTGAGCCAACACGAGCTGGAAAGCGATCATGGAGACAAGTGGGGTGATGTCCGAGACATCCTTGTGGGGCTCCGGGCCACAAGCCCTGAAGCTATCATGCGCGCTACTCCGCTCAGATTCCATTTTTTCATGATTTTGGCGTGTTCGCACTTACAGCATGCATCATGCCGACATGATCCTGATGTGTGCAAGGCTCGATTTACTGCCCTGAGATATCAAGATCCACAATTCCTGGCAGCTACGGAAAAGGATGACAACATGTCCATCCGAGATCGCACGAAACAGTGGTCGCTACTTCTCGGCTTGGAGGAAATGAACATGTCTTTTGGCTTTGCTCAGCTCTGCAAGCAGGACTGTCAAGCTATTGCTCGGCTCCCAAGTTTTGCGGCTTTTTTGTCCTGAGATGATATTGCAGCTGCACTTGCTGGCTGAAGCCAAGGTTTGACAAAGTGCTGAATCTCAACAGTGAGGCATACAACTTGAGAGAGCCCACTGCTTTTCAAGTTCTATCAGCGCAAGATGAGTGGGTAGAGTTCAAGATTGTTTGCTACATGGCAGAAAATTGAAGGGTTGTGCTAATCTGCATGGGGTGGTGATCTTGAGTCATTCGGCTTGTTGCAAACAAAAGTGATATTACCTGCACCTTCGACTTGAGCAGCTAGAGTGCCGAGGTTCCTCCAAGACCTTGACGGAAAAAAGTCGGTTCATCAAAGACAGGAAGTATGGTTGGGTCTATGGCGGGGAGACGGAGTACAGCACGTGGTCATAGTTGAGGAGTTGCAAGTCCAGACAATGTCCACTTGCCCTGGCTAAAGTGCACTGCGCGTGCCAAGCCGATTTGAAGTTGGTGTTATTGGCTAGGCTGTGATTTCCCTTTTGCGGAAGTCTTGCAGCTATGCCATTGTTGAGCTCGTCAAACTTCTGGAAATGCTGCTTTCTGCGCAGCGGATGGCAAAAATGTACATACATGCTTCTGGCAAAAATTCACCAAGCCCTATGCGGCCTCATCGGCCGCCAAAGCAAGATCGAACAAAAAGAGCTTACGCAAAACAGATTCTGCCCTTGCATGGCCACACGCGTGTCAGACGGTGCGGCAACTGAACATGCGCAAGCTGCCGCTGTGTGCAGGAAGCCCGGATGCGTGCCAAGCAAATGGCGGAAGAAAACAGGGAGCGGGCTAAGAAAAGGAGCCAGCCCCCAAGTTAGAAACCAAGGGTCTCCAAGGCTGCCTTCGCATTTCACAAGCGTTTTGCCAAGGAGAAGAGGCCATCGAGAACCAGCGCCATGCCAGGGAGAGGGTAAGGTGCTGCAATACCACAAGGTTCGTAACAAGTGCTAGCACGCATGTAGACTGTCACAGGACGGATGCGGAGGCAGGACAGCTTGCTGGACGGGCTTGCTGGCATTGAGCATGTGGACTCTGCTTTTGGGTGACCAGATCGGGGACGTGGCGAAACTTTGCGAGGCTTCGCATGGAGCTGATGTAGAATTGCTACGTTGCTGACAGCCATGCAAGCTAGCTTCCCAGCTCCGGGCGAGGAGCAAAAGCAAGTTGCCATGCAGTCGTGGCAAAAGGGATTGTCTGAGCAACTCGGACGATGTGTGCATGGATGGATAGATGATGATAGATGTACTGATCTGGTACTGCCATTGAGGTTATCAGCTCAGATGGATGCTGAGGAGAAAAAGCAAAAGGCCAGCAAGCACCAAAATTAATTGGTTAGATGGCCTCCTGCAAATGCCCAGGTGTTGACTGGAACCGAAGGCCAGGTGGCTCTCCAGAAGCTGTTTCGTCCACCTGCTTTGTGGGCGGCTTGGTGGATCCTGTTCGTGTGTTTACTGTGTGTTACTACTCTTGGACGTGTCTTGTCATTTCAGCTGTGCCTGGCGTTGCCGCCAAGGCATGCCATGGGTTACGTCAGGCGCTTTACCAAGCTGTGTGGGCATTGAGGGTTGAAGTCAGAAGTTATGTTGCCGCATGGGGTTGTTTGCAGATGCTCCGCAGGGCTGGCCTTGTGCCCCAAGAGCTTCGGCAACGATTACTCAGTCACTTGCACAAACACCGCAGCAGGCAAGGTTGGCGCCTGTGCCGTGCCAACTTGGGTCTGCTCTAATATGAGGTCTTTCGTGGAGACATTCAACCCACTTCTCGGCAACCAGCGCAAAGCGATCTTCAATTGCACAATCATAGTCTTTTGCAGCTTCACAGTGTAGAGTCTAATCCCACTTGGGTCTGCTGCAAGGAAGGCGCTGCCGCTGCCACCAGAGTGGACAACAAAGGCTTGCAACTCGCATCCTCCTGCTTTCCTTTGGTTTGAGACTCTTCGCTGCTCACCAGGGGGGCTTCATGGACCGCCTCCTGAGCCCAATTGTAGAGAAGGCATCGGGGAAAGAGATGGCCGCGGACTTACGCAGCACATTTTTGCTTTCAAGATCTGTCTCCCCCATTGTTTCAACCTCCTGACGTTTGCTATTTGCTTGCCAGAGGAAATGGTCAGAATTGCCCCAAGCCTCCGCATCTACGAGGACATGTTGGCATGCATAGTGCCTAGATGTCATGCAAACCAAAGCAGCTCCCTACGCTTTACGGGAGCTGAGGAGGGGGCTTCGCTAATGCGACATGTGGATAGCATGGGCCCCAGCAAGATGGGCAGCCTTAACCAGTGGCGCGGGAGAGTTTGACGCCAAACAATGGCTACAAGGGGACGAGACATTTGTTCGTCGCTACTGCCCTAGGTCCGGAAACTCCGATCACGGTTGCGATTCCACTCGAAGCTACTGGGGCAGGCTGGAAGATCGGCATTGGGGCTCTCTGCCTGCCAGGCATCCAGTGCGGGATCTGTTGGCCATATTGGGTGCACCACGAAACTGTTATAGTATGCTGCTCAAAGGAGGTGCACTAAACATGGATAGGCATGGCATGCCAGACGTGCACGCAGAGTCAGAGACCTTCCATGCTACATCAGAAATGATGTTGCAGGGGGTGCAGCGCTTTCAACTTGAGTCTAACTTGAGCTGGCTTTGATGTTGCTCTGCTCCTTTACATCAAGGTTTCTACAAACAGAAGCGTGGGTGGGGTAATCCCACTTGCGAGACAGCCGATTATCATCATGCGATTTGACAAAGGCTTCAATCTGCTCTTCAATCAGCTGCCATCATGGCAACAGCATCGTCACTGGCCAGGGGTCAGAGTGATTCAAGGGCAAGCTGGTATGGGTGGGGCAGGAGGATATCTGTCAAAGAGCGTTGTGCACTCTGCGTTCTGCCCCCCCCCCGCCTCTCCCCCCGTTGTATGGTCCCTGCCCCCCAGCCTAGGCCTCTCAAGAGCGTGAGCAGTCACCGGGGTTGTGGGTGTCCTCGACATCTTCGGAATTGTCGTCCCCGGTCGTCCTTCTTGATGGCTTTTGATGTCGAAGATCTCAAAAGTGCCGACAGTCCCGGGGATGGTGGGTGTCAAGCTCACGATCCTCGTAACTGTCCTCGTTTTTGATGTCGGAGGTCTCAAACTGCCAACAGTAGGAAAGTAGTAGGTATTTCAATTTAGGTAGTCACAATCCTCGCAACTGTTATGGCTTTTCAAAACCTACCAGCAGAAGGCATGCTTCAGGAAGTTGACTGCTCCCAGAAACAAGGCCATTGATTGATCAAGCACGTGCAAGCCAAACCCAGAGGAGGGGAACTTCATAAATTAGCAAGCCCCAACCAGACCTGACTGGTACGAAACAGCACACCAGAGGACCCCGCAGGGCCACAGGGGGGAGGGCATTCATGCTTGCAGCCATGGATCGACTCACCGCCTGCACTGAGCTTCATCAACCAGCATGCCAAAATCAGAGTTGACTGTCACCTGACAGAACCCCAGAGCACCATCGATGCCAACACCTGGGGGGGGAACAGAAAGAAGACGTGGTCATATTGTGTGCATGTGGGGTGTGGGTGAGATGTGGTGGGGTGTTCGAGGGGACGGGGGTCCATATATGGTAATGATGGCCATATTTATGTTCTTGACAACGTCGGGCTGCGGCCGGCTGGCCTGGACTGCCCCAGTGGCCTGAAGAGTTAGCCCCAGTGGCCCGAAGAGCTATAGGGCCTTGCATGAATCTATCCTAACTAATTAAACACTCAGACTTGCAGAAACAAACCCAATCCTCTTGGTAGTTTGTTCGCGGCCGTTTGGGCCGCAAGTGCTGGAGCGCTGTCATGCTGATCAGTACTATGAAGTTTGCGCAGGGTCCAGGTGGCACCTGGAGATTGGGGATCCACAGGGCAGGAAGCTACGGCCATTACCTCTTCAGCCAGGCTCTGTAAGGATAAGCTTTTTTCAAGTGCCTGGCAGTGGGCAGCTTGTATGGCAGGTCATCTCCTGGTCTATGAGACTCGTCTAGACCTGTGCAGTGCAGAGCAGTGCAAGCTGTATTTATCACAGGGGGGCCGAGAACAATGTCTGCAACCTAGGAAGGCGCAAGGCTTCCACATGCCAGGACCTTTGCCGAGCATATCTGTGCCTTCTTTTGCGAGTAGTTGTCAGATCTTGTATGACGCATCTAGACAGCACAGGATGGGCCAGCTGTCTGCTGGAGACTTGACAGTGGCTTTTGCATACTATCGTCCCAAAGAGAACTACGACTCCAGCCTGCAGCGTACTTCACATATCTTCACATGTTCGGCATTGATAATGCACCTGCCAGCCAAGCCTGAGGATGCAAGGCGAGTACAGCGCACAGTGGATCAGTTGCTAGCATCGCATAACGCTGCATCAAGAGGTTGGCGCCATGGTTGTCACCCGTAGCGCTTTGCTTTTGAGAGGGGCAAGCAGGATGCACCTTCCACAGGTCCCTCAAGACCGCCGGCTCCAAAGCCTCTGAAAAAAAAGGACGAGTTTCGAGCCTGCCTCAGCGACTCATTGCACGTGTCACGCAGAGGCTTTCACAAAACCATGTTGAGACATCACAACAAGCTTCGGGCCAAGGCAGCACCGACGAGCTGTAGCAAGTTGCTACAGATGGCTTTGCAATGGTCACGTAGTGACATGGCACTCTGCAGGTCCAGAAGTAATTGCTGCCTGGGCATGAGCACTCAAAGACTCGTTTGTCGGCAAAAAAAGCGTCACTGAACGATGCCGACTGCCGGCGAGAGATGAATGCAACACAAGTAAAACAGGAACTCCTGTGCCGCGAGTTGTGCACTCAGAGTCTTGTCTCTCGTGCGCATGGGATGGGAGGGCTTGCCAAGGTTTTATCGGGAGGAGGGTGCCTCTCAAGGACGCGAGCGCAGACACATGGCGTCAGAAGACAGACTTAGCAGCCGGAGCCGCAGAAGTTGACCAAATTGCTGGCGTCGGAGCCTGAAGCTGTGCGAGGCCATGTTCGAGATGAAGAGCGCCAGATGCTAGAGAATGCTGCCGGCCAAGCTGACTGCGCCAAGCAGTTGCGTTCATGCAGCTGGCTGCGTAAATTTCATTTCTCAGTTTGACAGCCGCGAATTAGGCGTTGATGTGTTTATCTCAACAAGGCAGAGCGAGCAAAGGAAGCCGCTGAGCGCCAGAGATTTGCAGGAGAAGATGCACTTGCGGCAGCCATTCGCAGGACGAATTTTGTGGGGTTGAAACAAGCCAAACAGTTTGGTGCTGCCATGCAATTTCACATGACAGTACGGCACCTGTGTGGCACGCATTTTGCTCAAACTCCCGCCCCTTTCTGCAAGCATCTTCAATCCGTCAGCATCCTCCCTTTGAGCTGGCTGGGGGGGGGGGCGGGGCGGCCATAAAAATGGCAGCTTTGCCCCGCAGCCTTGTTGCCATGAGCGGCAGCGGAAATGGCTGCGTGGTTAGGCATTTTGCGGTAGCTCGGTTTTGTCCATTACTAGAGCAGCCTGGCTTACTGGCCTCAGCAAAACATTTGCAAGGTTTTGAGTTGTTGGCTGAGCGGATGCGCTCTATAGATTTCAATTTGGGAAATGTGTGCCAAGATGTGCCAAGGCAGGACATCCTAAAATTGCGACAACTCATCGAGCAGCGCAAGGAGCACTACAGAACGGGGTGTAGCTTTGGCATATTCAGCTGACACCGTTTCGATTTTATGCTTTCATGTCTCAAGGGAGATTCATGTGCAACGCCCAGAACCAGTGCCGTGGCAGGTCGACGGTTTCGCCGGGGTGGCAATTTCTCAAGTGAGAAGGAGCATGACCAATGGGCGGTCCGCCGATTTGGAGAAGAGCGGGACAGCCGCCATGCCGCAATAGTTAGGAAGCTAATCCGGGTTTGGACAGCATCAATGAAACAGCTGCCACTCGTGTCAAATGTCAACATTCCTGAATAATGGCCTCGGGTTTGCAGCATATATGTTGCGACAAGCAGCACAAGACGCATTGTTGAGGAATGAGATTGGAAGCGCGGAGGATTCAACAATTGGAAGGCCGATTGGAATCTCTACTTGCAAGATTTCATCGACACTGTCGTTCGTAGTGTGGGCGGGAAGCATTGCCCGTGCCACTTACGACCCTTCTGCGCCCGACAACCATCGACGGCCAGTTTACTTCCAGAGAGGTGATCGCCAACGAGGCAACGATGGGCAGCAGACAAACGACAACAATCATCGTTCCGCGCTGGCGTGTAGCACCTGGACATCCAAAACATGCGCATCAGCAGTTCTCATTGGTGCACTGGCTCGCGGCGTCAACTTCGTTTTCACGCTGAAAAGGTCAGCTGCACCCATGTCTCAGAAGCCAAGTTTGCCAAAAAAAAATGTGCACGTGCTGAACTTGCCGAGTAGTCTCTCCAGCTGGCGCTCAGGAGGCAACATGAAAGGAGAGAGGCTGCATCAATGGCCAGGGAGGATGCCTTCTCAACAAAGTTCCGAGAAGCATTGCGAACTGCCGCTGAGAGTCAACGTCCTGTACTCAGATCAGCCACAGCAAGAAACGAGAAGTTTTTGCAACGTAGCTGGCAAAAGGAAACAATTCGACACATTGTCAAGGCTTCGCGGCTGCAGACCAGGAATCCTTCTTGTGGCGAGAAGCTTGTTGGCAGGCGCCGTCAATTTATCTTAAATTGAGGGGGCTGCTCACAGCAGAATGTGCTCATGCCCCAAAGAAAAATTTGACAATGTGTGCAATCATTTTCCAAATTACAGCCAACTTTGCAATGTTAGATCCAAGTTTGGGCCCAACCCCACCCCCCACAACATCAATTACAGGTGAAGGAGACCACACAAATGGCAGCAGAAGATCAGCGTTCATCGTTGCCAGACTCTCGGCACATGTGAAGCAAGTGAGGCAATAGTGGCGCATCGTGGAGGACCATGTTTTGTGTGCCAAAAATGTTGCAAATGCTGGCGCGCATGGCAGTTTGTGACATGTATACCGTATCATAATGTATCCTATGTATAGTGCGCACTCCACCATGCATGATGCACATGTTGAAAGAAAAGTGCCCATCAAGGCTTCGCCTTTGCAATTTCAGAGTGTCATCCCGCTTCGTGCAGCAGGCACATGACAAAGGGGCCAAGATTGAATGTGTTCGTTGTCACATTGACCATTTAATGTGGTTTGTCAAACGCAAGCCGCAGTCAAGGCTTGGCACTCATGGGCTCTGCAAATCTGAAAAAGCGAAACCTGTGCGCTCTCTCGTTGGTACAAGCCTGTGAATCGTAGTGACTAGGTGCTGGCCATGAAATGTGAGAATTCATCTTCAGACTGAGTTTGGATTCGGCAGGTGCATGACCGGGTTGCGCAGCCTGTCACTCCTGATCTTTCAGTGCGAGCCTAAGCACTTGATTCATGTGTGTACCTATAGGACCTGTCTGCACGTAAAGAAATTACACGTGGATTTGTATTAGGTGCTGACGAAGCTGGTCCTGCCTGGACCCTCCAAGCCGATTCAAGATCAGGATGAAGGCCGCTTCACTGCGTGTCAGTCAGTTCCCCCTTGAACGGTCAAGTCCTACCAAGACCGCGGTCGACAGGCGCACCTGCGCATCAATCCAGGGTTGCGCTGAACCCTTGGAACTGCAGCATGCTGAGTTGACGACTGTTCAAGCATCGATGTCCCCACATGATTTTGGCCTTGTTGCCAAGGCAGCCAGGGTTCTCTGGCGAACGGCGAAACCGTTCGCATGAAGGCGAAGGAGGCCAATTGTATCTTGCTGCACTTCGTCGTTTTGCGCTTTCGCTGCCGGTGCACGTCGTTACACGTGGCAGGCCAAAACGTGTGGCGGCTTAATTTGCCAGCAGCTTTGGGAGGCCCGGATGGCAGTAAGTAGAGCCTCAGCAATTTTCTGAGCACAGTTTCAGCGAAGTTTGAGTTCTTGGAGCCAGGGCAATTCCCGGAGCAGAGGTTCGCTGTTGCAATTTCAGTTAGCTGCTCGTTATGACTTGCTTGCCAATTTGCTTGCAAACCGTGCAGCTTAGACTTAGACCTGATTTTGTCAGCCAGCGGTTAGGGTGATTTGCAAGTATTTGCCCTCGGGACAGCTGTGACCAGTTTAAACGCGTAGCCCGAATCAATCCAGAGGCCAAGACCGATTTGAATCAGATTGAAGCACATCATCAGTTTGCAATCTAAGCCAGCACATGATGGCCCATCCTGCATCCGGTTGCGCGCACGGGTCATCATGGCATGGAGCTCCTTGGCTGATGTCGACTGTAATATCTAAAGCCAACACTCCTATGTGCTGTGAACTTTCCCGGAGCCTGTTATATTGAGCTGTTTGTCCTTCAGCGGGGACCGTATTTCCCCAAAGCATTCATTCTCCAGGAAGGTGAAAGCGCAGTGCGACAGTACTACCACGTGTGTGTGTGTGTGTGTGTGCGTGTGTGTGTGTGTGTGCGTGTGCGTTGTATGGGCGATCAGTTGTACTTGTAGAAAGAGGATCGGCCGACCGCGGCCAAGGTCCTTTGGCTCGGAAAGGAATTCTCGTCGTTCTGACTGTTTGGGCCCGGATCTCTATCCACAAGCCCATTCATGCGCATCAAGGGCAGACATGAGTTCCTGCACTTAGGCCGGGCTAGTTCTGTACCTGTTTTTGGTGCAGCAGGAGCTAGATGTGCAGGGAACAGTTCGTCATTGGCGGGTCACAGGCATTTGCACCCTTGTGCTGAATGTGATTTGTCTGCGAGGAGGCAAGCAACAGGGAACGCAGCTTTCTGGCAAGTGCAAAGGCTCCTTTGCACAGATGCATAAGAGTGAGCTTAGAGCAATCTCAATAGATTCTACTGCGACCCGCAGGTGCTGGACTCGCGACTTGGGAGACTACTGCTCAGGCCCAACAGGCGTCAAGCAATTGTTGCATGATGCACGGAATCATCTCAGCATGCAGAGACAAGACATTTTGTTCTGTATCTTGTCAGCCAGGGAACCAGTGTCTGCAAGTGGCCCCACCCTGGCTCCTGGCACGGCGCTTCCATGCGGTTCGTGCAGCAAGCTCCTAAGCTTCTGGGGCGCAGTACGCCTTGATCATGAAATGGCAAGTCCGTGAGGTGATCATTTGAGACATGCCTCAGCGTTGTCCCCCCCGCAGGTGGTCCAGCAGATGAGGCTTGCTGCTGGGAGGCCGCGCATTCCGGTTTTTCTGCTGCCTGTGCTGCTCCTCGCTTTTCCCGCATGATCAAGACCTGTCCTGCTTGCAGCTTCGGAGCAGCCGTGTCCGTGCAGTGTTCACTGACAAGTCTACTGCTTACTCATTTCAGGAACGGCTAATCGTAACGGGCAGAGCCGTGCTTCTGGCCCGAGGCCCCGGTTGCAGTGGCAGACCTTGGAAACATTCGGTTCCCCACATGCAAGCCTCCCTGTTCGGCACTTGGCTGCGTGCTGGGCCTGTAGTGGATTGGATGGAAAAGATTGAAAGGCAGCACGTTCGCCCAAATGCCTGGTTTGAGGTGTCTGCTTCGCCACTTTTTCATTTGCTCCCCTCTCGTCAGGAGGTGCCCTTGTCCAGGGAAGCAAGCCAAGCCAAGTGAAAATCTGCCCAGGACCTGGGCTGCGGCCTGCAGGCCCAGCACCGGCTTTGATCTGAGCTTCTGAACTCTTTTGCACAAGGCGGTGAGCCAAACACCCTTGCAGCTCACATTCAATTTGAGATGGGCCCTCAGCACGGCTTCGCTTCAACAATGCTTCAGTTGCTGTGTTTGTTGCACTGCACAGGCTGCAGTAATGGCATCTCCGCATCGTTTTCTGCGTTACTGCGCGACAAGGATACTGTGTCTTTTTAGCCGTGTAGCCCCTACAATGAAGTAACATATTCACAGACTGCCGGGCATTGATAGAGACATGCTCAGGACGCGCACTTCATCCGCTTCAAGGTCCAATACTTGCTGCAGCAGAGCAGCATGATGCATGTTTGCATGCCTTTGCTTTTCTCAGGTGAGTATTCAGCAGTCGGGGCCAGGGTGGCCAAGATCTGGTTACCGCCAGCTGCTGGGCAAGAAGACTGTCAGCCACATGTTATGATTATGGGGAGGAAGTGCGCCTGCCCACAAATCAGGCTTCAACTCTGGCGACTGAATGGCCCACTCAATTTGACGGAGACCACGCTCCCAGATTCTGGAGGGGAGGAGAGGCACAAGTTGCCACCAAGCTGCCAGGTCAAGCCGGGTCACTAGGTCCTGTCACCGGCAAGTGTGCAACTTTCACTGCAGAGATTGGGCCCTGTAGCGTCATGTCAACACATTGTGGTCTTCACAAGCAGGGAAACCCACCAGCACCTAAATCTTGTTTCTGGATTCAAAAAGTCTGAGTATTTGCCAGCAATGGGCGCTTGCGAATGTATGGAGCTGCAGCGAAGTGGTCCGTTGGGCCAGGGCAAGGCAGGGCAAGGCTTTGCACGTGAAGACATTTAGCAGGAGATTCACCACTGTTGAGCGAACAGGAGGTAACCGCAGCTTCATGCAACGAGAATCCCAGTGCCAACGAAAAGTGAAGGTAGCCATGGCGCAAGTTTCTTCGCAGAAAGTCTTCGGGCCGGCGAACGAGAGGATTCCAGTCCTACTTGCCAGTGTCATCGATGCACTGAACGTCACTGACCGCTGTGATGCATGATGAGTGGCTGAGGTGGGGGAGAAGTTGGCAGGAAACTGACACTGCCCATTGAGAATCTTGCCAGCTCTAGTCTTATCTTATCACAGTAAGGTATGATGGCGTAGCCGTAGCTTTGAAGCGGCAGTGCGACAGCTGTGGCGATTGCGCAGTGTCATCCAGGAAGCGCTCCCCTCCCTCAGAATCGCCATTACAGTGTGGAAAGGTGCTCTGCCTCAGACTGATTATGCAATGCAGCATGCCCAAAGCAAGGCCCGGCAAGCAAAGCATTCTCTAACCATCTATGGAAAAGAAAGTCTAAGTGTTTGTTGCATTTGGAATCAACTCATGAGGCGATGCAAAGTCTGACACCGACCCACCAGGTGAGCAGATCCCCGGGCAGGACAGCTGCGATTGCTTTGAATCAGCATTCCCGCAAACCACGCCTGGTCACAAGAATGGTAGGACACCTTTTGCAATTGAAGCAGCGCAAGCGGCGTGTGAGGACTCCGGCTTTTTTGCCTGCGTCAAATTTGTGTTGTGCCGTTCCACTGCAAATGAAGATTCTCATAGCAAGCCGTCTTCCAGGTGTTTGTGCTTTCAGAAAGTTCGTGCGAGTCTCGCAGGCATGTTTTGGAGGCGAGCGATGCGCGAGCAGAGAATGCACCTGTGCCTGCGATTTCTGCCACTGGTCAGGAAATTTCGCAGCAGCTTCGACAGCTCAAAACAAGGTGGCCGCAAGCGAAATCAGGACATGTTGTGCCCAATTGGCTAATCTGACTCGACACTGTACACGCTGTTCTCAGACCACAGCCTTCGGTTGAGGACTCTGCCTGGGCAAAGACAGAAAGTGTGAAGCTTCTCGGGCTTCTTGGCACAATGGCTCCTGCTTGATGCGATCTGTTTATGCTTGGACCGTCAGGCTGGCAGCAATGACAGCACTGCTGGCAGCACACGCTTGCCATCCAGCTGCAGCAGCCCCTCGGGAACCCGCTGAACTTCGAAGTCTTCCGGCATTGTCGCCATTTTCCTGAAACTCGCTTGGTGCATGCAATGCGCTGTTCACTTCCTAGTGACTGCTGCAGAATCACACATGCTGGGCCGATGTTGGGGAGGCGTCAATTTGAATGACATCGTAAGAGCCCCATCTCAGATGCGCGTCCAAGGAATCACATTTGCCCAAACGGGCATGGATTTAGCTCTTCTTGGAGGGATGCGCTTTTTGCAAAGGCAGTTGAGAATAGTCAGGGTGTTTTGAACAGCGCTAATCCGAGAAGGGTAGCCTTTGAACTTTGAAGACTGTACTCTAATGGCTCCTGACAGTCAGTCAGCAGACTGCACATGTCAGCCGAAGGCAGGTCTGTCTATGGAGCCATGTAAATTTGAGGACACATCGCTGAATGTGGTACTCATGGACCCATGCATGAGCTGCAGGGTTTGGCCACAGTTTTGGGCTTCAGACGTTGGAGCTTGACAACGTAGATTGAAGCTTGGGAGATAATCCCCATGAATCCACAAGCACAATAGAAATGTGCGGTTGGCAAACTTTTCAGACTTCCAAGAGGCGCGCTCTCAGCAAAAGAGCAGTCTCGCTAAGTGGACTGGAGCTGGAGGCTGCAGAAGGTAGAGTGGTAGTGCCTAGGAGCAGTTCGAGGACGTGCTGGGCCTGCCTGTCCTGATTAACGAGCGCTCCTCGACCGCCAGAGAGCAGTTCAGCTTACAGACACAAACACGAAGAGCAGCTTCGCTGCTCCGCTGCAAGTCTCAGGCTTTTTTGTGGCTGTCAGGGCCTCGCGACAGAGTGGGACTTCTACAGGACGAAAGACGCACTCAATATGGCTGCCAGGGATAACTTATCAGGAGCTGTTGGCATGTACCCATTCTCACTGTTGCAGAACATGCGACGCGTACCGAGGTAGAACACCCCATGGCTGTGGTGACGGCGCTTGGCAGAAGCGAACCGCCACTCGTTTGCCAACCTGTCATAACTCAAGACAAGTTTCTGTTCTGTCACAGCACACCACCTCTGCTGCTCCTGTTCGCCCCCTCATGCACAACTTGCAAAACTAGACTGCAATACAGCCACCTAGGCCGACGAACTATGCTGGAGAACTACAACACATGAAGAGCCTGGCCAAGCCTACCGTCGAGGTGCAAGACGCATGGAACATGGATCACAGCAGCCCGCGGGAGATTTTTATGTTTCTGCCTTGCACAAACTAACATCAGGGGTGGGCATAGTTCACAATTGTCATTCATCAAGAGCTGATTTTCTGCGTGATGCAAAACTGCAGTTGCTGTTCTGATTTCTGCCATTTTGTTTGGAGGGTGTGGCAATTTCAGGAGGGCAGGCAGGAGGTTGTGGCACAGGTGGTGTGAGGCGAAATCAGCAGCATTCTTAGGATTTCTTGTTTTTGCGCAGCAGCGTAAAGGGTCAGTTTGAGGCATACTGTCGCTGAAAGCGCTTGTGATCTCATTGATCGTGACCCCTCCCATTTTTGCACAGCACCCAAAACCGATGGTGTAAAATCAGCGGCACACCTGTTTGCAGCATGTTTTGCATCCATTATGCAACGCTGCTGCTGAGCTGAGTTTGTTGTAGTTACATGTGAGATTAGGGGTGTGTTGGTGTTTGTTGTGGTGGCTGCTGCTTCTGGGAGCAGCCTGGTTCAGTGCTGCAGGCACCTTGGGACTACGGCTTTGTGATCGGGACTTTCCAGGAGATGTCCCAGGCGCAAGCAGCACGATGGCAGCCCACTGATATCTGGTATGTGCAACTTTGCTGAATGTGTCTGGCCAGGCACGAAGATCTTTTCTTTCTTACTTGCATTCCGAGCGGCCGGGTCGTCGCAGCCCCATGGCAAGGTTCCTAGAATGATAGCGTTCAATTAGATCTTGTCACGCTTTAGAAGTTTGCAGCGGTCCTCCTGTACGTCGTTGTTTCCTGACATTCGGTAAGCTACAGTCAGTGCAAGATGTCAGAACTTCGGTGTCACATGTACTGAACAGTAAGGATCGAAGTTATGACGGTTGAGCTTGGGCATGAGACGCGTTTATTTTTACTGGCATTCCCACGTACTCTGTTTGCTAGCGGCGCTGGATGAGAAACAGTTTCCAGGGCCAGGGTAGTCTGGCTTTAATTCTTTAAGTCGCTTGCGCTGGCGAATTTCAGGTATCCGTCAACTATGAATAAAGCCCCGCCATTTTCCCCTTTCTGTTGCGATCTGGCAAATCCCGTCACTGCCGCAGCCAAAATGTTTATTTTCCCTCCTTTCCAGTTTTTCGGGCGAATTCCGTCACTGCACAGCCAACAAAATGCTTTGCAGAGCGCCCCGAAACAGTGGAAACCAAGAGAATTCCAGACTCTGGGTTTCTTGTTCAGAGCCGTTTTGTGTGGCTTGAGGCTGAAGGTTTAGGGACGAACTTTCTGTGCCAGAACAGGCTGCCAGGCCAGGGTAGTCTGGTCTTCTCATTTTCCCGAATGCTCCGCAGAAGGGTTCCCGTTTTATGGGTTGGGGTCCAGGAGGCGACGCGAGGTCGTTGCGTTTATGTCCGCCAAGCGTCCGCAAGCGTTCGCAAGCGTCCGCGAGTGTCGGAGAGTGTCGCAAATCGTCGCGAAACGCAGAACTGTCGTCACTTTTTACGCTTCGCGTCTCAAAAGTGTCAACAATCACGGGGATCGCGAAACGCAGAACTGTCGTCACTTTTGGACTCGTCTCGGGTCTTCGCGTCTCAAAAGTGCCAACAGTCACGGGGATCGGGGGGGTCTTTGTCGCGAAACGCAGAACTGTCGTCACTTTTGGCCTTGCCTCTGGAGAGAGGAGAGGAGAGAGGAGAGAGGAGAAAAGAGAGATGAGAGGAGAGAAGAGAGACGAGAGGAGAGACAGGAAAGGAGAAAGAAGAGAGAAGAGAGAGGAGAGAAGAGAGGAGAGAAGAGATAGGAGAGGAGAGGAGAGAGAAGAGAGGAGGGAAGAGAGGAGAGAG